GAAGATGTCGTCTACACCGAAATTAAACTCCCTGACTCTCTCTGCCCCCAAAACGTGTCTCGTGATGGGAAAGCTGGTAAGTAGCATGAACCATGTGAAAGAGTTTGCTGTTGTGTTTACACAATTATTGTCACCCTGGCTATGAAATATGGATGCAAAGAAAGATAAAGCTGAAAGTCATTTTTTGGCAAAGTTTAACATTCACTGCAAAACAAAGCACACAAATACACCCATAAAGTGCAATCTTTAAAAAATGCCCCATATTAGCAATGGCAGTAAGTAAACTGATAAGTGATTTCTTTTCATTTCAAATACTATTTCTTGTACAATGTTGTTTCATTCGTTTGCTCAGTGCAGTCTCTAACTGCATGATCTGTCAGTCTGTCACTCATCATTTATCTGCAATACAGTGCCTTGCAAAAGTACTGAACCCCCTTAAAATGATCAGATTTGCCTGAATTACAAATGATGCACGGATTCTTTGTCAGTGTTTTTATTACAAGCTCATAGTCTCTCACAATAAACTTTCCAGTCAGTACCAATTATTTGTCACCATTTTTTAGAAAAGAAAATTAATATTTGAAAAATGCTGCTGGCATAAGTATTGAACCCCTGCGCTCTGGAAGCTCCACATGACAGAGAACAATGACACAGCTGGAAAACATCACCTCACTGAATTGTCCTCCACTTGGCCCCCACCCATCATAACCCCTGACTCCCCCCAGCTTCACTATCAAGACTGGAGAGTATTAAAAAGCAGTTAGAATAATCTAATGTCATACATTTAGAATGGGGCACCAAAAATATCCAAGAGGTTGGACATCTCAGTAAGACTGTTGGATCGATACTGAGAAAGTGGAGGCTTCACCACACCTGCCTAGACCAGCCCATCCTGAAGACTCAGCAACCACACAAAAAGGAGACTGGTGAGGGAAGCCAGAATAAGGCCTACAGTCACTCTGAAGGAACTACAGAGCTCAGTGGCTGAGAGTGGAGTGAAGGTGCACCTGTCCAGCATGTCAAGAGCATACTGCATACACCATACTGCATACTGCATACACCATACTGCATACACCATACTGTGTACTGCATACACCATACTGCATACACTATACTACATACACGATACTGTATACACTATACTGCATACACCATACTGTGTACACCATACTGCATACACTATACTGCATACACCATACTGTGTACTGCATACACCATACTGCATACTGCATACACTATACTGCATACTGTGTACCGCATACTGTGTATTGCCTAAGCCATACTGCATACACCATACTGCATATCCCTGTGTGACGTCGACGGGTCGTCCTTGGAGCGGTCCATGACAACAGATGAGACCAAGATGAAGATTTTTGGCCAACATCCAAAGGACTGTGTGTGGCGCATCACACAATCATTCAGGGATTCCACACCATTCATGGTGCCCCTGTCTGTTCATGCACCATTTTATACTTTTATATTCAGGCAAAATCTTCATGTGGTTTAAATCTCTGTTCATTCCCATCAGGGGCAGAGAAACCTGGATCACACCCCCATCCCTACAGGCCGACTGCAGTGTGTCTGCTGCTGTTGTGTATTTTCCTAACCATCTGCATCATTGTCCTGAGTATCTGTTGTGAGTATGAATCACTTTTCATATCTATATGTAAGTGAAACANATGGGAGCAGGTTCACCCTGAGCACATGTGACAGACGTGAAAGGGTCTGGAGAAGCCATGGAGAACATTATGCTGCCCGTGACACTGTTCAGCATGACCGGTTTGGTGGGGGGTCAGTGGTGTTCTGGGGAGGCATATCCATGGAGGGACGCACAGACCTCTACAGGCTAGACAACGGCACCTTGACTGCCATTAGGTATTGGGATGAAGTCTTTGGACCCATTGTCAGACCCTACGCTGGTGCAGTGGGTCCTGGGTTCCTCCTGGTGCATGACAATGCCCGGCCTCATGTGGCAAGAGTATGCAGGCAGTTCCTGGAGAATGAAGGAACTGATACCATTGACTGGCCCCCACATTGCCCTTGACCTAAATCCAATAGAACACCTCTGGGACATTATGTTTCAGTCCATCCAACGATGCCAGGCTGCACCTCAGACTGTCCAGTAGCTCAGTGATGCCCTGGTCCAGATCTGGCAGGAGATCCCCCAGGACACCACTCATTAGGAGCTTGTTCTAACGTTGTTGGACATGCATACAAGCATGTGGGGGCCAGACAATCTACTGAGTACGATTTTGAGTGGCTGCAGTGAAATTTCTGTAAAATGGAAAATTTTCTGTAAAACTATATCCTGCCACATCATTTTTCCACTTTGATTTTTGTGGTGTCTTTGAATTCAGCCTCTGTAGGTTGATCATTTTCATCCTTCCCTTCCTAACACATTACCCAGTCCATATCAGTATAGATATCCAGCATGATTCTGCCCAATCGGCAGAAGGAGGTGTATGTGATCTACCAAGCCCATCCAGTGTCCCTAGAATCACTTCTGCTTGTGGGTATGTTAGAAAATTTATAATAGAAATATTTGAGTGCACTTGATGTGCATAAACCAGGGATAGGAACAAGTCGTTCCTTGGCGAGTTTGAGTCAAGTCTCAAGTCATTTGCCCTCAAGTCCAAGTCCAAGTCTTTTCATCATTTTTGCAGTCAAGTCACAGGTCACCAAATTTGTCAAATTTGTGGCTCGAATCAAGTCGAGTTGTGAGTCATGTAACTTGAGTCCTTACCTATGTCAGTTTTTTACCTTTAATGATTTAAAATTGCAGCAGCAAAAACCCACAAAAGTAAGACGTAGGATCCGTTCTTTATAGGCAGAGAGAGGTTGAATAGAGAGTCTCCACTCTGTCACAGTTGTCCTTACACCGTTTTTACATTCGTGAATATGCAGAAAGTGATGCATCTTTCCAACAAACTATCTCAGGAGACCTTGCATTCAGCCAATTGAATATAAAGACAGCAGAGAATTAAAATAGAATGAAATTATAAAAATTAACATTATGGTATCCAGAGGGTAGACTATAACCTCAACGCTTCTCGAGTCAAGGGGTCCAGTCAGGTCCAAGTCTCAAGTCATTTGTCCTCAAGTCCAAGTTGAGTCCAAGTGTTTCCATCAATTTTGCTGAGTCAAGTCACAAGTTATCAAATTTGTGACTTGAGTCTGAGTTACGGTTGACATCAGATTTCTACCCTGCTTGTACCACCTGGACTCTACTAAGGCCTATCTGAAATAGTCACAGGGTCACACTGAGACCGTCCCTGCAAGCATAGGACACAAGGCAGGGATAAAATGTTCTGTTAATGTCACTGCTTCGAGAGATATTTCCTGTATGTTTCTTGACCTTTGCCGGCCATTAATGTCATGTCATGTATATTTTTGCAGTACCACCTGGTGACGATGTCATCTATCCTGAGACTAAACTCCCTGACTCTCTCTGCCCCCAAAACGTGTCTCATGATGGGAAAGCTGGTAAGGGGTGTGACCCATGTGAAAGTCTGCTGCAGTGTTTTCACAGCAACCTGTCTGGTTTTTGTTTGTGAACATGCAGTGTATGTATGCCCACAGAATTATTTCCAGCAGGACCCAAGTTTACAAAATGGTTAAAACAAAAAGCTAACTGTCACTTTAGGTTTAAGATGTGCTAAAGCACTGCTGTCATAGAAGATGGCTGCGTAGATATTCTAATACAAAAAACGAATCAGGACAAGGCTGTAAATCCTGGGTACTCACCCCCAGCCCCCAGCCCCCAGCCTCCACCCCCAGCCCGGCATGTTCCAGGGACCCCTGCCCACATCTGGGGCTCCTGAATCATTCAAAGATTCCACACCATTCATGGTGCCCCTGTCTGTTCATGCACCATTTTATACTTTATATTCAGGCAAAATCTTCATGTGGTTTAAATCTCTGTTCATTCCCATCAGGGGCAGAGAAACCTGGATCACACCCCCATCCCTACAGGCCGACTGCAGT